AAAAAGAAGAAATAAACTGAAATGGCACCTCTACCTATTTTAGGTAATTGCACATCATCTTTTTCCCTTTCAACTTACGAAGTTCTGCCTCCTTTTGCTTCTAGATTAATGAAGTGAGATAAGCAAGTTGAAGAGAAGGAGATCCTGGAAATATTTTCAAAAAGTGGAAATAAATATTCTACTTCATGAGGTAATCCGGAAGCTATCGAAGTATGATAGATACCTTAAAGACCTCTGCAACAACAACAGATGGTAAATTTGGGCGAAAACGTATCGGTAGTTTTCCAACGATGGATTCCACCGAAGTATAAGGACCAAGGCATGTTCGTCATACCTTGCAAGATTGGTAAAGTTGGAATCAAGCGCGCCATGTACGATTTAGGCGCTACGATCAATGTGATGCCCCTCTCAGTTTATAATATGATCTCCATCGACCCTTTGAAAGAAACCAGAGTCAATATTCAACTTGTCGACATATCGTTTATTTATCCCGAATGAGTCTTAGAGAACATTCTAGTAAAGGTAAACGATTTGATTTTTCCTGTTGATTTTTATGTTATTGATATGAAAAATGACCACAGTAACAATGGTTATGAGATTCTCCTCGGGTGTCCCTTTATGAGTACGGCGTACACAAAAATCGACGTCGAAAGCGGTATTCTTACAATGGAGTTTGACGGTGAGATCATTAAATTCAACGTCTATAAGCAATGCAATACCCGGATAATGTGGCGAGCCTTAACTTTGTTGATATAATTGGTCCATTAGCAAATGAATTTATGGAAACTAACTTGTTTGATGATTTTTGCAAGGAAACGGAGGACTTTGATGAACAAAACAGGGAGATTGAAAAATTCTTTCAATTTATTTTGACTTGCGCTTATGACCTTCTAAATCTAAAATTATACCTTCCATTTTGTAGGTACAAAAAAATGTGTCGAAAAAATTGTCGGAACATTTGATGCATTCATCTTTTGGCAAAAATAATGTATTGTTGGCCACTATTTCGGAAAAAGCTTTCAAATATGAAAAAGATCCGAAGAAGTACTTATGAGATTGTTTGAAGTTACAATGACAAATTGAAGGAACTTTATGATCGTAGAATTTCTCGTAAGAAATTTCTTCGATAGAAAAAAACATATGAAGTGGAGGAAGCATCTCGAACAGAATCTGTTGTCTGAATCAAGTCGTCGAACTCAACGTCGTTAAACAAAATGCTTTATGGGAGGCAACCCATTTTTAATTTCATTTCCTTAGTTTTCTTTAATTTTAATTTTTATTCTTTGGTTTCGTTAAGTATTTTACTTACGTTAATTTTTGTTTTAATTTTTAGGAAACCAGGTGAGTTTATTCAGACTTAAACAGAGTCAAAACCGGTACTTTCAATCGAATCAGACCACTTTTCAGACCCCAAATAGCAGCAGCTCACGAAAATTTATCCCAGCAATGAAATCCTTCCCCAGTTTTTCCCCATCACCCTACGTCATCTATTTTCACCGAAACTTTTTCTTTCATTATTTCAACCGCCTAACTTCTTTCATTCTTCTTTTTATTTTTCAAAACTAACGTTCACCCGAACTTTACCGCCAGTCATTCTTCCACTGTTGTTCACTGCTTATAGTCGAGACTTACACATCAATCGTGGTTCGACGAGAAACCAAAAGGTCGAAGGTTGCCTTTCATCTATTAATCACAAACACCATCGCCCATTGTCGAATCAGAAAATTTAAGGTAAATAAACCAGCTGATTTTTGTTACACATTACTAATGGTATTTCCCTTTAGCATTGTAGGAACCTTCGACATCGATACTGTAGACGAAAACGGGTAAAGAAAACAAAAGAACACGAGAATTTTACGAGGTTCAACAATGTGCTTACGTCCTCGGTGCCTAGGCGGCGCTAGAAGTTTTTATTCAATGATATTTTAGGTCTAGGTTACATCTCTATTTATAATAGAAAACCCTGGTACATAATTACAAAATTAACCCTGTACCGTACCGCGGGGGCTGCGCCCCCACACCCCCAACCCACATAATTCGTAACCCCACAACGAGACTTTCTTTGTAAAGACAGTTGATGTTCGCTGCGTTCGCTCACTCCATCTCCTGTCCTCTTTACTGGTATATTTATGAGTCATACCTAACAGTATCATACCATGCGCATAACGAAATATGACAACGGTACCGACTTTCCACCATTCCCCTTCGTGTAAATCGCATGCTTGAATCTTGTCATAGGAAGCGTGGTGCAAGTGGTGCGGTCTGTTGGCCACCATATCGTGAAACTGATCAGGTGAAGCGTTGATCTCTACATCGGCCTCAAGCTTACCAGTCAGAGCTGAAGACATGGTGCTTGTACATTGTAATAGTATGGTGGTGTTGTTGGTTTGATGTCTTAGGGACGATATTTATAGAATTTTTACGAAATGAGCTGGAACAGTGGTTCCTTCTAAAAAAATTTAAATTATTATATACTTTTTTATTTTTTATTAATAATTTATTTATATTCTTTTAAAATTTTATAAGTATTATTTTAAAAATTCTAAAATTCTATTATTTTAATATAAAATTATGTTTGTACATTTATTTTACATTAAACCAGTACGTATAGGTGTCGGTACAATGTCCACCACCAATTTGTTTTTTGAAAAAATACCTCAACTAATTTCTAGAAGGCATTTTTTTAACTAAACCAAACCATTAAATGAAGCTATCAATAAAATTATTAAAAAGCCATCGATAATATTAACAATAATAATAATAATAATAACATAAAAAATAAAGTTTAATTGCAGAATTATTATTTAAAACACATAACTTTAATGTGTATAATATTTTGATTAAAATTATAATAAGATTATGACATAAAATAAAATTTAATTGAAGAATTATTATTTAAAGCACATAAGTTTAATGTGTATAATATTTTTATTAAAATTATAATAAGATTATGACAATATAAAAAAGGCATTAAATAAAAAGTATCTATAAGTAACGCTTGATAAAATAACTATTTGACGTAATAATAAAATTATCCAAAACGTTTGACAAATGATCACTTTGTCTCTTATCTTTTTCTTAGTATTTTAGTTCCTAACATTTTATTTTGGAGTAAAATATCTCATGAGTGGATGAATATCGTTAGTTGAATAAAGGTCAACACTTCCTATTGATGTGACATGTCCACGTGTGATGTCATGTCATCAAAAAAGATTTTTAAACTATTTTTAAATATATATTTATAATTGTATATGTAATTAATTATAGTTTATTCTAAAAGATATTTTTTTTGTTGAAGTGGCATCACACGTGGACTTACTACGTCTATATGAAACATTTACAATTAATCAACTAACAATCTTCATCCAACCGGAGGATATTTTGCTCCAAAATAAAACGTTGAGGGCTAAAATTCTCCAGAAAAGGACAAGGATTAAGTGACCATTCATGCAAAGGTTGGGATCACATCAGCATGGGGTGAAAAAAAAGATTTCTCAAGTTGATGCAATGAGCAAATCGAGAATAGTGAGAAAAAAATTAAGGGAATCCAGTGTAAGCCCAGAAGAAAGTAGATGGATCATCGATTAGACCAAAAAGTGCTCTAGAAAAATCACATGAAATAAAAAAAAAATTAGAAAAGACCGTACAAAATACAGAGGTAAAAATGATAAATTCTTAATATTTTTATATATTATTCTTAAAGTTTTTTTTAATATTCTATATTTTTAATATAATATCATACCAACTAGTTGTAATATATATTATTATTTTTAGTTAGTTTATTTTTCTTATATATCTAATGAACTAATTTTATATTTAAATATGATAGCAACCTCAAGTTGTAATATATATTATTTTAGAAACTGTTGTTTACACAGTCAGTGGTAGAGGAAATGTGCCCTCGATCATCGTCGAATCCAACTTTTGGTTCTACTTGTGCAAGGGTTGGTTGGTTGACTAGTTTGCATGGCCAGCAAGTCGATCATGTAACTGTTGGATGTGTTCATTTCTCATCTCTAAGCAAACGAACCTGAGCAAAGTGATACTCTGACTATATTTGATTTCAATATTGGAGCAATCAGACAAGATCAGAAAGAAATTAAAACAATCTAACAGAAGAAGAAGATGAAGAGTAAGGTTTAAAGAAAGGAAGTGCAAACGATTACACTGCACAAGGAAGCTATGCCTTGTACATATCTGCATTTACAATTTCAATCAGGCCAGGATTAGAGAAGGACATTATGTTTCAAGGTATATGTATTCTAGTTTGTCAACTCTTTAATAACTAAAGATATATTTTTCTCAAATTATAGTTGGAACCACGCGAGGGAATAAGATTTCAAGTAATAGAGGGCATTTCAAATTACTACTCGAGATACTTAATCATGGCAAAGAAAATACCCTTATTAAATCTTAAATTACATTCAGTTTACTTTAGTAGGCAACTTATGAAAATAAACCAGTTCCCTAATACAACTGTATTGATATGGTAAGCCACTTAAGTTATTATAGATGTTCAATAAAATTGTTCTGAAAAAGAATGGAGGATATTGAGTAAGGAAACAATTGTGCAGTTACAATCTAATTAAGATGTACTCAATATGATAGCTGAGATGCCCAGGACAACTACATACATGAGTACTTAGTTGAACAACTCATTTTATTTGGTTCTGAACCTACCTTAGCTAACTTAAATGTAGTGGCCTGACTCAGGTGAAGAATCTGACTTAAAAAAAATATGTAGAAACATGCATGAGAATGTTGCATATGGAGCTCATCACAGATTCAGAAATATTTTTAAGGGTGAACATACGTACATTAACAATATAAAATTTTTGTATAGGATGAGCACAAATAATTTTTTTTAATAAATAAAATTAGTAAAATAGATAATTGATAGAAGAAAATTCAAATTTTAAGGTGGACAAATCAGACGTAGATCCAGCATCGTATGTACAGGAAGTTATGAAACCATACTTAATATTTAACACACAAATAGAAGCACAAAATACATTCAACTTCATACATAAGTACTAACCCACAAACCAAGGGATCCAAACATACACATACTTGACACAGAAGCAGGAGAACTGAGGATTTATTCTTTAGTTATATTAGTAGTTCTTCTAAGTAGCAGTAATAGCATGCTTTAGTTTGATTGGGTGAGGTGAGCGTCCATGTCTTTAGAGAGATCCACCAAGAATTGCAGAAAAGACTCGGGTGCAACCGCGTCATGAAGCTTCTCGTATTCGAGAGTCCAGTGCACGACGCTACCACCGCCAATCTTGGGCGAAGCTTGAACTGTGACTAAAAGGCTCTTGTACTCTTTCACTTTATCTCCTTCGAGCGCTCTGAAAGTAACCAACTTCTTATCATGGTCTATTGCTTCAATAACGTCCTTTGTTACTTTAGCCTTTCCATCTAAACAAAAACATAATTGTTTATTATATTTTTTTTCCTCTCAAGATTAACAAATGAAGAGAGAGCATGAAAAGGAATTATGGGTTTGTATCATACCATGCACATAACGCCAGATGACAACGGTACCGACTTTCCCCCATTCCCCTTCGTGTAAATCGCATCCTTGAACCTTGTCATAGGAAGCGTGGTGCAAATGGTGCGGTCTGTTGGCCACCATATCGTGAAACTGATCAGGAGAAGCGTTGATCTCTGCATCGGCCTCGAGCTTACCTGTCAGAGCTGAAGACATGGTGCTACTAATAGTATGGTGGTGGTTTGTTTGATGTTTTACGACGCTATTTATAGAATGTCTACATAACAGGCCGGACAGTCGTCTTTCTTAATATAATTTAAATGTTTTTTTATGATTTTTTTAGGGTAATCCTGATGGTGCTGTGTTATTGAGTCTCCCAACTATTATAAGTTATAAAATTATTCATCAACTATAGAGTTTTAATTTGTTGATTAATCAACCATTAAAAGTTATAAAATGATCATCCGATAATTCATATGTTCCAAACTCCTTTTTTTTTAAATGATGATAGTCCGAGCTGAATGTTAGCATGTTGACTGAGATATGATAGCCGTTTGAGATTTTGGGGTTGTATTTTATCATATCATGATCAACAGGTTAACGGTCAGTCCCAAATGCAATTAATTTTTTAATAGAAAAGGACGAGTTCAGAACATATGAATAGTCGGACGATCATTTTAAAACTTTTAATAGTCATATGACATAATAAAACAATATCCTATAGTTAAGGGGTCATTACATAACTTTTAATAGTTGAAAATTCAATAAAATATTCTATAATCAAATGATCATTTATATACTTTATCTTATTTTTTATTGATAACTTATTTTTGTTTTTCTCAAATTTTATACATTAAATTTTATAAATTCGCATATTTTAAAATTCATTTTTCTGATATATAATCAAAACATTGATCCTCTCCAAATGATACTACTTAGATTACTTTCCACCACCAATTATTCTGAAATGAATGACAATTATTTTGCCTAAAATCAGTACTAATGGGTGTCGGTACAACGTCCACCACTAATTCATTTGAAGTTAATCAATCATTAAAAGTTATAAAATAGTCATCCAATAATTCATATGTTTTAAACTCTTTTTTTTAAATGACGATAGTCCGAGCTAAATGTTAGCATGTTGACAGAGATATGATAGTCGTTTGAGATTTTGGAGTTGCATATTATCATATCATGGTCAACAGGTTAACGGTCAGTCCCAAATGCAATTAATTTTTTAATAGAAAAGGACAAATTCAAACATATGAATAGTCGGATGATCATTTTATAACTTTTAATAGTCAGATAATATAATAAAACAATGTCCTATAGTTAAGAGGTCATTATATAACTTTTAATAGTTGAAAATTCAATAAAATATCCTATAATCAAATGATCATTTATATACTTTATCTTATTTTTTATTGATAACTTATTTTTGTTTTTCTAGAATTTTATACATTAAATTTTATAAAATCGCATATTTTAAAATTCATTTTTCTGATATATAATCAAAACATTGATCCTCTCCAAATGATACTACTTAGATTACTTTCCACCACCAATTATTCTGAAATGAATGACAATTATTTTGCCTAAAATCAGTCCGTATGGGTGTCGGTACAACGTCCACCACTAATTCGTTGAAAAAATTATCTCAATTAATTTCCACCTTTACTTGGAATAATTATAATATATATATATATAATTAGATTGCAATAAGACATATGATATGTCAAAATTTTAAAATAAATTAATATTATTCTTTTATCAGCTTTATTGAAATGATATGTAGCCGTCAAAGAATAATCCATGCCACAGAAAATTTGTTGGATCAAATGAAATAATATACATATGTTTTAGGGTGCATCTGGTGGTGACTGGTGACGCTATCTAAATATCTTTCTAATTAGAATGTTTATTTTAATCGTAAAATTAATGTTAAACGGATATAAATTTAAAAAAGTATAGTAGAAACGATGGTTTTAATCTAAATGCAAAAATTGAAATTTCTGGTTTTTTTCATTTCTATCTTTGTGTTTAGAAGCAAATTTATTTTCTTACTCTTACCAATATATGTGCTCCATTCATTTGCCATGGAAAGAACTTTGAAATTCAATTTTCTTTATGTATTTTTGGTTCCCCTTCCGGTTCTAAGGATTCACATTGATTAATTTGAACCAACCCAAGTCTCACACCTAGATTTGGTGTGTTAGTCTTTCAACAGAGATTTTATGCACACACAATGACTCCAACTAGAGACATGCTTAAGCGATATCAACCTGTTTGCCACTTGAACCAACCTCGTTGGTATGTTCAAATTTCTTTATCAATTATTTATTTATATTTTATTTCAATAATTTAATACTAACGTCATTAAAAATAATTTATAATTTATTTTTATTGGTTAAAAGTAAATAAAAATTATGATTTATAAATTAAAATATTAATAGTGAGTTATTATAAAATATATTTTTATTATAATTATATTTTTTATATTTACTTTTACTTTTTATATTTTTATTATAATCTATATTCATATATTTCATATATAATAATTTATTTATAATAGATATCCTTTTATTTTTTTTATTTTTGAATGGTTAAAAAGATAAATATAATATTTATATTATTTTATTTTTTACTTTAAATGAATAATTTTGGTTAAATCGGAATAATTAAAATACTAATTTAAAATTCAAATATTAAAAAATATTGATAATATATTTTTTCTTAATAAAATATTATATATATATATAAATATTATGAATGAGTTATCTTAAAATATGTTTTCTATTTTTATCATAGTTTAACTTTGATAGGATTTGTGAAAGCTCGAAATGACAACCGAAAGAGTTGCAAGGGGATGAATTGATAAAAATTTGTTTAGGGAGTAAGGAGAGTAAAATATAAGAGAAATTTGGCATAAGGATTTATAGTGGTTCGACATATCAACCAAGTCTACATCCATTACCTTAGCTCATCACTAAGGATTTTCTAACAAATTCACTAATTTGTTCTTTCTTTTTCAAAGATCAAGAGTAACCTTTACAAACCCCCTATCTTTTTTACTTTGCTAAGATAGAACCAAAAACTCATTTACAAAAGGATAAAAGAAGTAAACAAATAAACCTCTCAAAGGTAGGGTGTTTACAAGATTTAGCTCGCTAAAACACAAATATTTACAAGAGATATAAAATAAGATTGTAAAACTCTTTTCTTGTGTTTGATTGTTTGGATAGGTGTTCTAACCTTTCTTCAAGTGTCCTCAACTTGTATTTATATGTTGGAATGATGTTGTGGCCGTTTCTAGCCGTTGGGAGTGCTTTGGAGCCGTTGAGGATCAATTTTCGTGCAAAATAAAACTGTCCAGAACAGAGGGTATCGCTACTCCTAAAGGGAGTATCGGTACTACCTTTGTTATTTTTAAATCAACTAACCGTTACTAGTCGTTGGGGCCTCATGATATCGATACTATGCATATGGTATCGATACTACTATATAGAGTAGTATCGGTACCCCTTTGGATATCGGTACCATTTTTACATTCTGAAATTTAAGCAATGTTGGTAGTATCGATACTACCTAGTGAGTATCGATACTCCTCTGACATTTGGTATCGGTACCATATAAACAGTATCGATAATGGTCATGAGGTATTAATACTGTAAGAACAGTATCAATACTGCTTGTCCAGAAAATCATTTTGTGCTCAATTCCACTTTTAAATGAACTTTGAATTATTTCTGAAAACTTGGAATAAATTCAATTCAAGTCCAAAAACCTTTTGCCTTAATTGTTATATCAAAATATAGTTGAACAAACTTGATATATTTATATATCATAATATTAATAAGTGTAAATATAATTTAAATGTTATGTTTTTAATTTACAATATAATATCTAAAATAGATATTTTATTTTTTTCAAAGTTATATTTTAACAGTAATTTCAAACAATTAAATTTTAAATTATACTTTTGAATAATCACTTTTAAAAAAAAATTTCTACTTTACTTTAAAAAGTAATTTTTCAAAATCAATCTAAAACTAACCCTAAATAGAGAGTCATTTTACTTTGAGGTTTTGGTTCAAATAAATATACCTATAAGTTATATACATAGTCAATAATTTAAAAAAAAAATTAAAAAAATATTACCGATCACCTAAAATTATTTAAAAAAACAATAAAATATATGAACCATCAAATCATGATCTATATACATATCCGCAATACCATTAAAAATAGCCAATGAGGATTGTAGAGCCCATCCATAGAACACCCCCAACGCCCAACAGCACAGCTGTTATTCACCCCGCATCAGTATTTGTTTGAATCTAATAAATGAAGGCTTGAAATGTATTAAATTACTTTACATTAAATAATTAAAAACTGATATATAAAGCTTCGTATGTTGATTTTTAGGAGTTTTATCTTGTTTTATATTTCCATGTGTTATTATTTTAGATCTTCACCGGAGTCGCAACTTTAGGAAATAGGAGGGCTGAGCGTCTAACCGAGAAATTGAAGAGTTTGGGGTTTCTAAGGTTCGGGAAAGAGGCTTGCATGTCTTTAGGAACTCGATCTGGGATTAGCACGAGTGAAGAGTGGTTTTAGGATTAACATCGCTGCCATGGGACCTCGTCGGAGATAGGTAATATCGAAAGACGATTTGATTTTCATGAGGGTATTAGGTAGGGTTTAGGTATTTCGATCTCAAAATGGGGATTAAGGAAGACGGAAGAGTGTTTTCGAGGTTTTAGGTTATAGGTTTGGCCTCGTCAACCATTTCATACGGTGGCCGGAGCACCGTTTTAAGGCTTTTAGGGAGATTAGACGAGAGAGAAAAGGGAGAGGGAAAACACAAAGGATGAGGCGGCTGAAAAGTGATTAGATTAGGATTTCTTAATCTGAAATTAGAATTTTATATAATTTAATTAGGGCTAATTTAGTCAAGGTCCCCGAACCTTTAGCGTTTTTTTCTCATTTTAGTCACTTGTTTGGTTTGTTTCGATTGTAATTTAATTTTAGTGGCCTAATTTTGTAATTGTCCAGGTTTTGAAAGATAGTATATTTTAGGGTTATCAAAATCGATTAATCACGCTTTAGTGCTCTTAGATTTTGTCTGTTTCTGCATTTAGATCACTGTTTTATTTCTAAAATTGCATCCTTAATTTTAACTTTTTTAATTTAGTCACTAGTCTGAAACTTGTACAATTAATTTAGAATTTAGTCCTTGAACTATTCTGTAAGTTTCAATTTAGTCACTAAGTTCATTTCTTTATTGATCAACCCTAATATTAATTTAATTTAGGGTAAAGTATAGTAATGGTCACTGAACATTTTTGAAGCTTGCATTTAGGTCTCTCAACTTTTAAAACTTGCAATACAGTCCCTCAACATTTATTCCGTTTGCAATATGGTCCCCCAGCTTAAATCACTGTTAGAAAATTAGGGTAAATTATATAAACGGTCATTGAACTTTTCAGGCACTTGAATTTAGGTCCCAACTTTTAAAACTTGCAAAACAGTCCCCCAATAATTTTATTTTCTTATTAAATATAGATGTATAGAAAATATAAATGATTCAATTTATATTTAAATGTATGAATCATTTATATTTTTGATATATTTTATTTTTCTTGTATAAACTAGTATTTAAAATATGTTTATATTTTAATCAAAATATTTCAATATACGAATAAAAATATATTTATATTTAGATGTATAAATAAAAAATATATTCATATATTAATGTATGAATCATTTATATTTTTTGAATATTTTATTTTTAATAAGAAATTAAAATTATTAATTATATTAGAAATACTCAACTTAAGATTATATATATAATCATGAATTATAAATATGAAAAATATAATTATTAAATTTAGTTTAAAAATATATAGATTTTAAATTCCTTCTTTTAAAATATTGTATCAACTAATATTTAAAAAATATATTAAATCTATCAAACAATTTATCAAATATAATATTTTCCCATCATTTATTGCTTTCAAATTTTTTGCCGAAGTTCAAATCTCATTATTTCCATTTTCCATTATATTCTTTTTTTTTCTGGCATTGGTCATACTATTAGTATATGTATTATTGTATATCTCTTAACACAAACGATGGTGTTAGCTTAGTGGCTCCACCCTGTATCTTTCATTTGCGTGACTCAGGTTTGAGTTTGCCCAAGACCCAAATTTTACTTCTTTGTAACTTAATTTTCTTCTAATTAGGTGGTGACATGTGTCACCAATAACATATATCATGATCATGTGTTAACACATGTCAGATCCTGGTTAAATGATTAATTTATTAAATTTTATTTAATTTAGGACCAAATTGATAGCATATATAAATAATTAGGTGGTGACATGTGTCACCAATGACACGTGTCATGATCATGTGCTAACACATGTCAGATCCTAATTAAATGATTAATTTATTAAATTCTATTTAATTTAGGACCAAATTGATTATATAAATAATAAAGACTGAATGTATAATAATGTCAATTCCTTTTAACTGCCACTTCATCATTTGTATCAATTGGTAACGACTAGTGGCTTAGTTGAAACAGTTAAATAATTATGTTGTATGATTGATAAATTTAAAAGATCGATGACAAAAGTAAAAAGGGCTAGATAGTTAAGTTGTCAACCTAGTAGTTTACACTTTTATTTATACGTCAAAATAACATTTTATAAATTTAAAATTCGAATTATTTTCAACCTCTTCTATATCCTAACTACTTTTTTAAATTAAAAAATTTCTTCAACAGATAAGAATTATACTATTATATTTATATAAAAAATACGTATCACATGAAATAAGATGAAATTAAATAATAATAAATCTGACATAATTGAATTTAATTGAATTATTTTGGAATTTAGGGTTTAGAATGAAATTGAATTACTTTGGAAATTGGGGTTTAGAATGAAATTGAGGACTGTTTTACAAGTTTTAAAAGTTGGGGGACCTAAATTCAAGTGTCTGAAAAGTTAAATAACCTTTTATATAATTTACCCTAATTTCTAACGGTGGTTTAAGTTGAGAGACCATTTTGCAAACGGAATAAATGTTGGGGGACTGTATTGCAAGTTTTAAAAGTTGGGGAACCTAAATGCAAGCTTCAGAAATGTTCAGTGACCATTACTATACTTTACCCTTTAATTTAATATATTCATTTGATAATTTGTAAATAACTAATTAGTTTTTTCAATTAAATTTGCATTAATAATTTTAGTACATTTGGATTTTTTATGCATGTTTTTATTTGTTTATTTTGATGATTTTATTTTTTTCCTAATTTTTTCTTTAATTTATTAGAATTTAGGAAATTCCTTTTAATTTAATTTTCCTCAATTTAGTTCATAGTTAGAACCTTGGACTTTAAATTTAGCCTTAGATTTAGATTTCTCACATTTAGTCCTTTAGTTTAGAGAATAATTTGATTTGGCTCTCGCATTAACATGCCCAATGGACCATTTCGATTATTCGACTCAATAATTGGTTAAAATAAATTAGGATTAATATTAGAGCCTCCACTTTAGGTTTAATTTTAGTTTAGTCCTTTAATTAGGGAATAATTTGATTTGGCTCTCCCATTAACATGCCCGAGAGACCATGTCGATTATTCGACTCAATAATTAGCTAAAATAAATTAGGATTAATATTAGAGCCTCCACTTTAGGTTTAATTTTACTTTAGTCCTTTAATTTGGGAATAATTTGATTTGGCTCTCACATTAACATGCCCAAGGGATCATTTCGATTATCCGACTTAATAATTAGTTAAAACAAATTAGGATTAATATTAGAGCTTCTACTTTAGTCCTCTAGGTTCTTTATTTTTCATAATTTGACACTTTAAGTTAGGGTATGCCTTACTTAACTCACTTAGTAATTAGGCCTCTAAATGGTTGTGTGATCGCATCTTGATTTTAAAATAATAAGGCAATGTTCATTTATCAATGAATTAATATTGTATCCTTTGTGTTATGCTCAGGGGGTGACCACTGGTAATTCACGAAGTAAATCAACATCCTTTTCTAAACCTCATGTCATGGCTTCTTAAACTTTAAGGCAATGTTCGTTTACTTAGATCAATAACTAAGCTCTCACATTTCATGCTCGAGGGTGATCGTTATTGGTCTTAGTAAGCCGACATCATTTTCCAAACTTGGCATCCATAATGATTTTTAAATTAAAATGAAACATCGAGCTCAAAATTTCTAATTTTAAATACAGGGTAATCGAGTAGGTATCAATTTCTGGGCATTGTGGGAGTGCCAACCCTTCACCACGTATAACCAACTGTCATACCTATTTTCTGGTTTTCGCAGACCAAATTTTGATATTTTTGATAAAATAAAAATATTTTATTAATACTAACTAATTTTAGGTGTTCCAATCGAATCTTAAAAATAGTTGGTGACGACTCCCAAATTTCATCAAAAATATTTTCAAAAGACCTCATCGTTGCAACTAATCAGTTTTTCCCTGAAGGACCTATTGCGACAGAAAGGTTGGTAACTTTTTTAATGAATGATTTCGTAGTGTTATGTAAGGTGGTTTTTTAAACAAAATATTTGCATAAATTTTTTAGTGGTATATAATTTTTTAATTATAAATTTTGTATTCATATTATTATAATAAAAATTTAACTGCAATTAAAATTAATCATTGTAGTGCATACACAAACAAATTAATAATTGAAGACCTGATTCAAAAATAATATAACTAAATCAGAATAAATTTAAATTAATAATTCGTATATATTTACATCATAAAATAATATTTTTCAGAATTTTCGCCTACTATCGATTACATATCTTATAAATGCATATATATACATAATTTAGATTCTTAGAAAAAATAACATTCTCTTTTATCACGTATAATTATAAAAATGTTAAAGATACCTTTATCCCTTAATCAATTTTTAGACAACATAATTTATGAATCAAACGTCACTTAAAAAGATAAGGATCCACTAAGCTAAATTCTTGAATGAAGAAATTTAACTTTGCAAAAGCAAAGCAATTTGGACCTCACATGGGTTAGAAGAATGTGCTTCCCCCCTCCCCCCCAATTGATGCCTGAACCTCAGGATTTGTGGTGATTTGTTCGGTTTATTTTCTCCCATCTTCCTCTTTAGCTCTAAAAGTTTCAATTTCGAATAAATTTGTGTATCAAACTTCAAATCTGTTCAATAAAAAACAAAACTCGACATAGAATCTCTCCACGTAATTTGCATCCCAATAATTTACAGTTATTTTCCTAGCATTTCCCAGCTACTAAATCAGTGCACAAATTGGGAGATTTTAGCTGCTAAATCAGTGCACAAATTGGGAAATTTTTGTTCATTTTGTTGGTCCACTGTGTTTAGTCTTTGAACCAATATGTCTAAAGCTTCCTTCATCCACCAATGCTGACAAACATCCCTTGCTTCTTCAACATTCATCTAAACAAAATCAAAAAGGAAAAAAGAATCAATTTTTGATCATATTGAAACCAATGGATTGAAACTTGGAAGCCATTTTTGATAACACAGAAGCTTACCCAAGTCCTTTGTCTGAGATTTTGTTCTGGCCAGAAGTCAAGTTCTTCTTTCACAAGCAAAGGGAACATATAGCCTTCATAAAATGTGCCATGTCTTTTGCTTATGAAATCCCATTTCCCCAGTTCACACTGTTTCAAAGATGAAGAAGAATTTTTAGAATTTGCAGAAAAAAAAAAAGATTTAAGAGTTTGATTAAATAGATATTAACCTCGACAATGCCTAGAACACCAGCTTCTTCAAGTGATTCTCTTAGTGCAGCTTCTTCTCTAGATTCATCGAGCTCCCAACCACCCTGAGAATCAAAACCCAAAGATTAGTATTGAAGAAACATCGTTTTTAAGGGGGGGGGGGATATGTTGAAAATTTTGAAGATTTTCATGTATGTGTACCTTGGGGAACATCATTTTTTGACATTTTTGGGAAGAGATTACAAGAACTTCGAGATCATTACTAGTGGTTCCATCACTGGTGGATTTGTATCTATAGGGAATGCTTCTGCAAATCGTCAAATTTGAAGAAATCAACGAGGTTTCGTTTATGGAAAAGAAAAACATGGACTGGAAACAGTCCCAGCATGAAAAATCTGACCAAAAATCCATTTCAGAAAAGAACAAATACTCACCCGACAACTTGGCGGCGGCCCAAGTTATCATATCGCTGCAAGTGCCTTCCGGTACGAGGAACCAAGCAGACCATCTTAAGAAAGATTGAAATAAAAGAACGATTTGAACAAGAACGAAGAAGAATACCCAAAACGATTCAGATTGATGAACCAAATTCAGCAGCTCCAAACGTAATTCGAAGAGATTTGTTTTACTTTTTTGTGATTAATGACAACAATCCCAGAAAGGAGATTCGTTTTTGGGAGTATTACGAAACTGATTTATCGTAGAATGGATCGAGCCAAATATTTCAGGTAAAAAAAAGGCAACAAAAATGATGAAAATGAATGAACATGGAGTTGGGTATTTGTAGAAGAAAAAAAGTGGAAAATAGAGTAAACATGTTTATTTAATTAATTTGATTAAACAAAGTTAGTGAATAAATATAATAATAATAATAATAATAAGATTAATAATGGATGAAAATGATGTTTTTTTTTTATTATTAAAAAAGGGTAGGTATTGAGATTTGAGACGCGTCTCATTCTATGAGCTTCGATGTCGTTTCACTAGCAGAAAAGGTTTTTTTTTTGTACTTTTAAAAAATGAATATTAATTCATTTATTTTGGGTCAAATACATAAAGAGTCATTCGACTATAGGGTATTACTTTATTAAGTCTATCAGTTTTTAGCAATTATAAAATGATCTTAGGCAATGCTTTGTTGAGTTCTCTGACTATTAAAAGTTATAAAATGATGATTCTATTATTCATATACTTTAAACTCATCATTTTCCATTAAAATATTCATCTAAGCTAAACGTTAAACTGTTAATTATAATATAATAAAATCATATGTTAATGATGTCTACTAGCATCGTTGTCAGTGACAGATCTAAAAATATTTTTTAGTGTGGACACATTCATATTAATTATTGAAATTTTTCGTATGGGTGTGCACAAATAAAGTTTTAGGTTGGGCACCCATAATAAAATGGACAACTACCATAAAGAAACTCATATTTCAAAGTGGGCACGCTCCCACCCTAGGTATGCTTTACATTTGTCATTGGTCATTGTTGCTTTCAAGTACTGATCGACGACATAACATTTCAAACACTGAGTCGACGACATAATGTAAACAGAAACTCAATCCACAAAATACAATTCAAATAGTTTTGAGATCAAATTTCATCATATCCTAGTGAGCAGATGAACTTTTAACTCAAACGCCCACCAAATTTTTTAAAGAAAAATGACGAGTTTAGAACATATAAAAAATCTAGTGACTAATTTACAATTTTAAAATAGTTGAGAGACTCAACAAAGTAGGACCTACAATTAGAGGATCATTTTATAACTTTTAATAGTCAAAAGACTAAATAAAGTAGTAACCTATAATAAAGGGGTCATTGTGTCCTTCACCCATTTATTCATTTGCATATTTAATTGGGAAGATTTGGAAGAGTGGTGTTGTAGCCAACACGTACACGGTTGATCCGATGTAAATAGGGATGACTTTTCATACAAAGGTGTCTGAGTCACGTGTGCGATGATTGGCTATTTCGGCTGAATGCCTTTTCTTTAAGTTGGGCTGTTTTTTTTCCAAAACATGAAACAAAAAGCAAGAAAGCGGCTGTCTTTTTTCTTCTTCATCTGTCTGGCTGGCTACAATCTTTAAGGATAAATAGATAGGGTTAGATTTAATACCCATTTTGCTTTAAGGTTTTCCACTTCGTTGCTTTTCTCTTTGTAATTTTAGTAAGAAAATTCTAATAATTAAACGAAAATACAAACTAAAAGAAGGGTAAACTATGTGAATAGTTCATTTTATTTAGGGTCTATCCAACTTTGATTACTGATTTAAATTTTAAGAGTAAATAGTCTCTAACATTATCGGTCTATATGGTTTAAGTTCTTCCGCCGTTAACCCTTAACGTATATGTGACATAGCTGAGGGACTAAAATCGAATGAGAGTTAACAGCTGAAAAACTAAAATCGAATGGATCGATAATGTTAGGGACTAAAATAGAACATATCGATAACGTTAGGAATCATATACCCTTAATTTTTAAAATTAATGACCAAAGTCAGTCATACCAAAAACAAAATAGACTATTCATATAGTTTACCCTTAAACAACATATATATATATATATATATATATATATATATATGCATGTACGAACATATTAAAATTATATAACATAGAAAATAACCTATTAAACTTTAGATTTAATTTATGATTTTTTAATCAAAGCATACATTTTTTCTTACTTTACACCTTATTTTTTAAAAGTTACCTCCTAAATTATCACATCCATATCGATTTACTAAAATATAAAAAAGGTAAGAACGTAACACGTCCTTATTAGATGTCGATAATTTTTAAGATGAAATAAGATAAAAAATAATAATGCAAGGGACCAGAAAAAAAAGATAATTTAAGATGCAAAATGAGAAAAATCACTTTAAAAACAGAATTCATGAATAAAGCCTAAAACTCTAAATAATAATAATAGTAAAATTATAATAAATAAAAATTCTGTAAATTTGATATTATTAAATGAATTACATGATTTGAAAATGACATGAGGCAGACACGGTGTAAGTAAAGCATGGTAGTCAAATGTAGATCAGTATAAAAATCAAATCTTATACATACAAATTAGAAAAACCAAAAACACATGTGTAGACTGATATGCACGTCAGAGAAAATCTTAACACGGATCGATCACTGCTATACCTCCCCAGTACCATTAAACGAATTAATATACCTAAGTGGTTGTCGTAACCGTCCTTCGGGTAGGTCCGAAATCGGGTTTTGACTTAATTTCGATGTGTTGGAGCCGTCATCGATCATTTAAAATTAGGTTGATCGGATACCTTAATTTACCATTTTACCCGATCTGTATTTTTACCAGAATTAAATCGGATTCGGGAGTCGATTACAGTCAGGGAAGGATTAGCACCCCTGTACTGCCCTTTTGATACCAATTTAATTTCTCGGTTGTCTTAATGGCGAAAATTAAAAGTCAAATTAAAATTTAGAAGTTTGATCTGAATTACTTACCTTTGATGAAGTTAAAATTGCCCTAAAAAGTTAAATTAATGTTAAATAAAACAAAATAAAAAGGGTATTAAATTAACAGAAAAAAATCATTAAAGAATGATTAAATTTGGAAAGAATTTAAAATTGGGGGGTCAAATTGACGTTAATTGAAAGCTGCAAAGGAAAAAAATGAAAGTTAGGAGGTCAATTTGCTAAAATATAAGAAATATAAACGGGGATTAAATCGAATTAATTAAAAATTCAAGGGTAAATTCACAACAAGTGACCAAAATGAATTACACATCAGAATTACAGGGACTGTGAAAATAATTTAAGAATTTTATAATTGCACATGGATCCCCCTATAAATAGCCCTAAAATCACAAAAATCCTTCATTTTTACTATTCTCCTCAAAATCAAACCCCAGAAAACAAAACTCTCTAAACTCTCATTGACCGGCCAAACCCCGCCGCCCGGACTGCCGCTCCGGCTACCAGTGATGGTGGTCAGAATCCTATGGGCTACCCGAAAATGCTCCTCTAAACATCCCAAAGCTGAATCTGAGCCCCAAATTCCCTAAAAAAAACCCTCAAACAACGTAGATTTATGTTCAAAGTTTCGACTTTTCAACTCTCCGGTGACTTTTCCCCTTTCGGCAAGGCTTCTATGCGATCCCAACGTTCTTTGACGAGACAAAGCCTCAAGCTTTGTTTTTTTGCTTTCGATTTCGAATGTTTTTTGCCTTTGGGTTCTATATTTGGTATACTATTTTTTTTGTGTTCTTCACTTTGATAATGTTTGTGATTTTTTGTTGTTTTGCTGATATTTTTGTGATTTTGTCCGTATGTTGCTTGGTTGCTATTGGTTGCTTAATCGGGTTTTTTTGCTTGTGTTCCCCGATCTCACCTTTTTCGATGACTTGGGTGAGGTATTTATACCCCCTCTTCCGATGGTTGTTTCCGATCCTACTGGGGTTGTTTCTGTAACACACCCAACCCGTATCCGATCCGGATTCGAGTTTGAGGTGTCACATTGAATTTGCAAAACATTTACTTTTATAAAATCATGAAAGATTTCCACTTTTATTAAATAAAACTGCATAATTCATGCAATTTATATCAAAGAGTTTACAAAACTTATCAGAGCTTATACAATTCAAATCTTTTAACTACATGCCAACTACATTCTATATAACAAATTACATATATTCGAATATATTTCTGATATGATCTATAGAAAAGAGAAATTGACTTGGATCACATATCTTTACTCCCTTTTTTTCATGTCAGAACCTACGTGTGAAACATACACACGCTAAGTCGTTGACTTAGTGAGGCATAAAATATGTATAATATGAACTTTATATACTCAATAATGCATGAACATTTCACAATTCATATAATAATATATTGCAAACATCATATACCAGTTTATATACATGCACACATATCATCATTATTCTAATCACATTATTGTCATTATCACTATCATTAGTTCATTTAGAACATAAAATATGATCGTTAACCTTTGTAGCATTTCATACTATATCTTTCACAAGCAAAGCATATAACATCATATAAGATTTCTTTATGTTATTTCTTTGTTTAGCCCATGTACATTTCTGAGAACTTAAGGTATATGAGTACATAGAGGTTGTGCACATATGCTGTCACCACAGCTCGTATAATTCTCACTAGGGGTGCGTAGAATTTGTTCCGAATGACCACTATGTCCCGAAAGACCACATATTACATATGTCCTCCACTTCTTAAGAACCATATACATATTCCAATGGACCAAATAAGTGTACCGAAGTACCGCATAGATGTTCCAAGGGATTTCATATATGTCCCGAAGGACCACGTAGAACCCTCGACTCTTGGCATGCCAACTATACCCCTAGCTCTCAATACACATACCATGGGCATTATCATTAAGTTTATCACATATTCACATAATCTCATAGCTTCTTTCACATAGTTCATTGTCACATTTTCATATTATCATATAGGCACGCAGTTCACTTACTCGTAGATCATTTCCATATAATTCACATGTCACACATATCGCATAGCTTATATCTCTTGATCATTTACTTACATAACATGTATTCACAACAATCATATAACATACACAATAACATATAT